GTCAAGGATTTAGGATCTGGAATCTTGAGCGAGATTGCAGATGTGGCCATGAACGGCAGCGAGAAGGGGAAAAGCAAGGCGGTGGAATTGTTGAAGATGGTTGCAAGTGGCGGCATCGACGGTAATGAATTTCAAGATTTGCAGTTGGATCATTTGATAAATCAATGCTCTGCATAAGCTTTCGTTTCATCTAGGGACCTCTTTGATTGATTGATTGATTAGTCTCCAGTCTCCAGTCTCCAGTCTCCAGTTCCACCATATTTGTGCAAGATCAGGTTTATTCTTTTTCCCACGTTTGAACCAATTCTATTGTACAAATTAAAGATGCATATCCATAGGTCAGGTGATTAGGAGGAGAATATCAAAATTTTACACTTCCACTAACAAGTTTTCATGAAACTTACATTATCGTGTGGCTGATATGTGAGTTGATATTTGATGGGTGAGTGAATGTATAGACTTTGAAGCATCATTATGACTATGAGGATGCGATTCTGTACCAATCTTCTGTTTTGACTCTTTCCATTGATGGGGTTTGCTTTTCTTTCTTTGTTCTTGTCTTTTGCCTTACTCCCAAATCTTTCACCCCATTCCACTTTTATAGTGATTTTGATTTTGGTGCCACCCAAACCAAATCTAAATGGATTGTCTTGAACTCCATCTGGGATGGTGTTGTTTAGCTCTTTTGACTTTGTCACTGTTGTTTACTGTGGAAAGCAGTAAAATGTATTGTTTGTGTTTTGGGCCTTTACAACAACTTGTATTCTGTTGCACAAAGTTAAACTTGTGGTCTGCCCAAAAAAGAGGACCTTTCTGTACAGTACATCAGTGATGAGCTTGTGTTTATACAAAAATGGCAAGTCTCTTGCCATGATGGCCTGGCCCATAGCCCCATGGACGCGTACCTAGTCTCCACTTTCCTACATGATATTAAATATTCCTCGAGGTCAGTTCGGTCGGTTCGGTTTTACGGGATATTTTATTCACCCCTATTGTCCTACATGATATTAAATATTTGTCGATATATTGATATTATCGATATTTTTATGTATCCATAGGTTCGATATCTATATTTTTATCATATTAAAAAAAAACGACAAAATATGAAAATTATAGACAAAATGTCACCAATATATATAATATTAATATTTATCATTTTAAACTTATTTAGAAATAGAAAATATTTATTAGTTAGTTTAAATATTTTTACGATTTTTAAATTTTTTTAACTTTTATAAAAACTTTGAAACGTGATAATTAGAGTACTGATATAAAACTTTTGAATACTCTTACTATAGAGTACTGATTTTTTTTCTTTTCATTTTTAAAGTGGTTTTCATACCAACATGCTAAAAATAGTCTAAATTATAAATAAAAACTTTTGAAGTTTGCAATTATTTTAAAAAAAATCTCTACCATTTCAAAAGTTCTTCTATTAATCTTTCATAAACATTTCAAAAATATCATTTGAGCAAATATTTGTTAATATTGTGAATAGAAAATTGACGCAATAGAATTTGAAACGTGATAACTAATGTGAGAATTTGTATTGAGTAAGTTTGAAAAGAGAGGTTATCGCTTTTACAAGGGAGATTAAGACAAAATTAAATAGATAAAAGAATTCAACTCTTTTTAACAATGGAGAAATAAGACTTTTAGAGTAAAATTGAGAAGTTAATTGTCCTGTAGTTTTGCATCAACTTTCCATTTGAAATATTAATGAATAAGAGTATTTTTAAAAAGTTAATGAAATGTAAAAGGGTAGCATAGAAAATTTTCAAAATATTTTTTTAAACAAAAGGAAAAGTGTATAATTCTGAAATAGAATTATAAAATATTTGGAAAAATAGGAGATTGAACCTTCAACCTCGAAGAAAGAAATACATGCCAATTACATGAGCAGTTCATGTTGATTTCTTTTCAATTTTATATCTTTGGACTCTAATAGATCCAATTTAATCACAAAAATAACTAAATAGGTAAATTATATTAAAAGAAACATTCAAACTTAGGAGCGAAATATTTAAACTTATTTTTAAAAAGAAAAGATTTAAATCCTAGTTTAGTCTAAATTTTGAAGTTTGTTTGTTTTTACCCATGAACTTTAAAAAATGTTCGTATAGGCTTACTGTCAATACGTAGTTAATTTTAGATGTACGTATACACTTTCACTTCAATTGCTCTACTAAAAATTCGGTCCTTAACTAGTTGGTACTACCAAAATAGAATTTAAACCAAAATATAATAATCACATAAATAGAATTTTCTAACTCAAATATGTTTCCCCAATTTTGTAAAAAAATAGGAACTTAACCCGAATTAAAATGGATCCAGCGGACCAGGAAGATAAAAAAAATCGAATTTTTGTAAAAACCCCTCAATTGGATGTGCTGACTTCTGAGCAGAGTAGAGAAGGAAAATTGGGGAGTGTAAGACTAGTAGCAAGGTTCGCGATTTTCCCAGCTGCCAAACAGCGAACCATATCCACTGCGGAAGTGCAAATTATTGAATCATCTCCCCCATCGTAAATGGCTCTTCTACAACCCCATAAAACCCTTCAAATCACCAATTCTCTCTTCCCCATCTGTAATTTTAGCGCCACTCGGCCTTCCATTTCAATTCCTTTCTCCTCCTCCAAAACCCATCAACAAAATCCACTATTTTCTTCCACCATCACTCCCTTCTCGCTCTCAACCACTCCCAGAAAGTTTCTGTGCCAACCCCCCAAAGGAAAGTACATCCACGACGATTATCTTGTGGTACACTTGCGTTTTCTTCTCCTGGTTTTCATATTTGGTCTTGTTTTGTAGGTGGTTTGTTTGTTTTTTCGTTGCACCTAGCCAGTTTCTTTGGGTATTGTTTCAGTTTCATCAGTTTCGCTTGTGGGTTGTTTAAGTTTTTGAGATTTCTGTTTTGCTGTTGGGTTTGGCAGAAGAAGATGACGGCTGCTGAAGTGCAGGAGCTGGTGAAGGGGGAAAGAAATGTGCCGCTCATAATCGATTTCTATGCAACATGGTGTGGACCCTGCATTCTAATGGCCCAAGAACTTGAAATGGTATGCCTAATCAGCTGCCTAAATTCTTCATTTTCCAATGTGGTGCTAAAAGAATATGTATATTCTATTCTAACCCGTCAATTTAAGTTTTTGTAGTTTTTCTATATGATTTTGGTGAAGAACACATGCTTGATGCATAAAGAGGCATTGATTAAAAACTTGAAGTATAGCTTATATATGTGAAGCCTACTGTAGTCGGATTGGCTAATGGTTGTACCATTGTAATGTGAGCTATTCATATGCTTGGTTCTTTAATATAGTGGTCTCTTATGGTGGTCTAGCCTTGGCTTTGCGTAGCTTGCAAGAAGAAACACAATTAATTTCTTACTGCTGGAGGAAACAATCTGTGTAGGTAGTTGATAAATTGTTTCTCATAAGAGAAATTGTGTCTTTTGCTAGTATATTTACCCGTATCCTGCTGTATTACAGTCCATTGAGGGGGAATTCCAAGTCTATACGGCTTGTAGTGTTCAATCTTATGTGGAAAGCTAGTTTTTCTTTGGAATGGCAGGTGTAATTGATTACTAAGCTTGCTTGTTGGAGAATCAAATCATTGTTTGTAGTTTGAATTTGTCACAAAAACTTATGGCTTTAGCAGGATACTGATAGTGGAGTGTTGAACAATATTTTTGTGCTCGTAATCGCACATAAGGCTTGCGTTTTTATGTGTGCGTGTGTGTTTTTTTATTCGACAAAGAAACTGTGTAAGGACACAAGACCCATGCACCACAAGCAAGTTTCAAGTTTCACAGGTCACTAATTCTCTGTTACATCTCGGCTGCTCTCAGCTCTGTTTTATTTCATACAAGATAATAGCTATTGTATTATTAGTTTGCTTGAACAAAGCTGGATTTGTTTTTGTTTTTGATATATTTACTGGAGTAAAGTTGTGGCTTCCGTTTGCCATCTTTTACTCCAATTGAAGGAACACTGCAACTCTCTAGGTGATCTGAAAACATCCTGATGATGTTTTTGATGTAATGTTGGTGATATTTTACTCTTTCGAGATTGCAATTAGCCATTTACAACTTCTTCTTTGACTTTTAGTTTAGGTGGTTGATGTTTTTTAAATGGAAATAAATATACAGTTGCACTGTTTCTTTGTGCTGCGATTGCTCGGATGGTTAGGACCGAGATTTTACGATGATGCTTTTGATACCGATTTTCATTCATGACCTTTTTAGTTTTGCTATTCAAACTGTTGTGGTAAATAATCTCTTCTCTCCCTCCATCAAATTTAATAGTATTCAAATTTTGAATTGCCTCATGGATCTACTATGATGACTAGTCAATGTTTTGTTTTCTTAAAGTTTTGATGCTCGAGTTAATCGCTTGATGTTGATGGCATTATCTACTAATTGTGGAACGTAGATTAACATTTGTAGTTTGTTGATGAGGCTGTAACCATAACATGCTTTTACGACTCTTTCGTTATGGGAATCAGGGATACAATTGCTAATGTATAGCTCTTATCACAGCTTGCTGTTGAATACGAGAACAATGCGATGATCATCAAGGTCGATACAGATGATGAATATGAATTTTCACGCGACATGCAGGTAAAAACATATCAGGTCGGGGGAAAATATGTCTTTGTTTTTAGCCCTATCTGTAGAAAGATAAATCGCTTTGTTTCAGGTGAGAGGGCTGCCTACACTTTTCTTCATTAGCCCAGACCCGAGCAAAGAAGCTATCCGCACCGAGGGTCTCATTCCAATTCAAATGATGCGAGATATCATCGATAAAGAGATGTGAACTGCAAAGGAAGAAGCATCAGGCACACCTCTCATCAACACTTCTGGAAAAGGGGGGCTCGAAATCCATTCTAAGACCGCGTTCTTTCAAGCCTTTCGTGGAGTTTATTGGCCTCCCGTAAGTCATAGTTTAACCAATTTGTCAGGCAGACTAGAAATAGCAGGAAATCGTGATCAGAAGTCCGAATAGGATAGAAATTCTTGTAGTATTGAGCATTGTCTATTCTGTTTTGTAGGACCTAGGATCAGTTATAGAGTTCAACCCACAAAGACCTGGTACTTAAACCATTCGTCACGGGTTCGAATCTTCTCGCCTTCAATTTGTCAAAAATTAAAAGCGAGAGATCGACAATGGTTGGTTTGATAACAAAGTTGGTCAGTTCTCAAGTATGTGATGTTGTGATGGAACTATTAAGAGAGGAATCTAAGCTTTGAACTATATTGTTGAACAAGAGTCGATTAATTTAGATATGATTCCTTGCTCTCTTGCACTCCCAATGGCAAAAAGAAAGAAAAACAGTTTTCAATCTAAGGAAGAACAAAGGAAAAGCAAAGCAAAGATGAAGAAGAAGCTGGAGTACATGCAATGAGAATCAAGAACACAAACAATAATATAACAAGTAATAGAGAGTAAAATAAGGCAAATTTGCACGTGGTCCATCAAGTAAAATGGTTTATAAGGTATCATTTTGGATGCTTGTATTTCAAGTCTACTCTTTCTTTTGCTTTTTCATGCATGTCTAACTAACTATTTGCATTCTTAGAAAAAGTTTAAATACCTCTCCATCTCTGTATTTTTTAAATGTTCGTCTTTTACTTAAACTTTAAAAAAGTAATCATTTTTGTTCTTTCATTTTTTATTTTTACCTCATTTATGTTGCGTCAAAATTTTAACATCACTTCGTTTACTAATAATAAAATTTGTATTAAAAAGGGTTATATTAGGTATAAAAATTGTGTTTACATTTTGTAAATAGAAATCAAAATAGTCACATACGTTTAGAAAGTACATGAGCGAAAATGAACAAAATTTGAAAGTAAAGAGATCAAAATATTTTATTTTATTATTATTATTATTTTATAACTGAGAGTCAAAGTTTTACTCCTGTACCCAGCAGCATCCGAGCTCGCCTCAAGATCGGAACCTGAAAGATATCAAGAGTTTTTTTTATATTAAACTCACAAGAAGTTTCGAACTTGAGGTCTCTAAACTAGTATAACTAAGAGACCCGAAACTACACGCCAAAATAATATTGAAAAAATAATAAAATTTTAACTTCGACGAATATAATAAAGTGAATCTATTTTACTGTCAATTAATATATATCATAAAAATAATATTACAGAAAAGGGGCGTAGGGAAGAAGCTCGAAATTTCAAATATTTTCTCTCTATTTTACCTTCAAAATTTTCAAAATTGAAAGATCTATGCATAAGAAAAAGTTAAAAAGTAAAATTTTACCATTTCATAATCAAATTTACGAGCCCGTCCCTATACGTTACTTCAAGGTTAAGAAAGAATACGTAATGAGTTAATTAACTAAAAGGAATTTTCGAGAATTAGAAAGAATACCTAAGAAGTTAATTAAAAGGAATTTTCGAAAATTAGTTGAAAAGACTAAATTTGCAACCGACATATAATAATGTGTTAGGGCATTGTGGGAATTTAAATTCCAGCTGGGCATCTTATATAATATTTTAGTGTGGGTCAATATGATTCCAATAATAACACCAAAATAAACTCATAAGCAGACTCTTGGATTTTTTTTTTCCTATGAAGATGTCACTTGAAAAAAAGTTTAAAAACATAAGGTAGATTTCCTTTTACATTAGGTATTAACCAATCAACATCTATAATAATATAAATTCGACAACTTTTGAAAAATAAAAAATATTGTAAAAAAATTGATAAATGATAAGAACTTAATTATTTTTTCTCGCTTTTAACGTTACCCATCAAACCATTAAGTTCACCGAATCAAAATGGCATAAAAGTACAAAAATAGAGGATAAATAATCTTATATAAGAGGTAACATAGAAATTCTATGGTTTTTCTCGTACATTACGTGGAGTTGTAAATCCGATTTCATTAACATAGATAACGATGAGGCACCTAGAAATTCTATACTTCTTCATATATAATACATACATACATAAATTTTTATATATAACACATAAAGAAAAGGAAGAAAACAAAGACTTGTATTCTATTCTTCCTTTGGTGGGGGGCAAAAAAAGAAGCAAAAAAAAAAGGGCTCTCACTCTGAGGTTGAAAGCCTACAAAAATGAGAAGAAGCCACTTCCACACTCAATCCCAATCCCAATTCTGACTTCTTTTCTTCTCAATTCACCATCTCAAATCAAGCTCCTTCAATGGCTTCCCTTCCCCATCTTCTTCTTCTTCTTCTTCTTCTTCTTTTCTTTCTCTCTGCAGTTTCTTCCTCCATAGCCACTCTGCAAAACCACCTCCCCAAGGTAAATAACCAAATTCTCCCACCTTAGGCTTTAAAATCATAAAAAATACCCACTTTCCCCCCAAAAGAAACACAACCCAGATGGTTTTTGGGGAAAATATTTATGGTTTTGATGACAAAATTTGATCTAAAACAAAGCAAAAATTTGATCTTTGATCTTTGATCTTCATGGACAGCATTATGTTGTTTACATGGGAAGTGGGGGAAGCAACAATGGAGGAGAAGATGACCAAACAGCTGCTGAATTGGATTACCTGCAACTGTTATCCACTCTAATTCCAAGGTTAATTTTTCTAATTTTCTTCAAAATATCACTTATTTTCATTGGAATTGAAATGGGTTTTGGGTAATTTCTTGTTTTGTTTTAAGAAAAAATAGGAAAGAGAAAGAGGAAAGATCAAGGGAAGTGGTCCACCAATACCACCATGCTTTCAGAGGCTTTTCTGCTATGCTCACTGAGGAAGAAGCTTCTTCTCTCTCTGGTAATTAATTAAATTTGCTTTCTTTTTGTTTAAACACTTTGCGTTATCTTTGTGATTTGGTAACTTTAATGAAGACAAAAAATGATTGCTTGCCAGTGGGGACTAAGTTAGATAGCTGTCTTTGGTTGACATTACATTGTCAATTACAAGACAATGAAAAAATTGGAAGTAGTTAACTTAGGCCACCTTTTTTTTCTTTCTAATTTAATTGCTTTTCTACTCAAGGTTTCAAATGTCGATGTCGAGGTCTCAATTTTATGGAAATGTCGATAGAAATATCAATAAAATGTCGATGTAGATGGATATTTCTAGAAAAGTTATAAAAATAAAAAGTTAAAAAAATATTTAAATTACTATTTCTAAACAAGTTAAAAATGATTAATATTAATATTACGTGTATATTAGTGAAATTTTGTTTATATTTTTATATTTTGTCGATTTTTTTGTTATATTATGAAAATGTCGATTTACCCCTCAAGTCGACGATGTCAAACCCATGGATACATGAACATGTCGATGGACATACCGACGTGTCGACGGATATTTAAAACCATGCTTCTACTTAAAAATAGGTTAAACTATGAACCTTCACGATCATGTCTGTTAAGTTCTTGTACTATAAAATGCTTTCGGTAGATGATCTCTAAGCTTGTGAGATTGCCCCTATTTAGTCCAACACTTTAAAAGGTTATTAAAGTCTACATATGTATTGTTTTCTACTTATTGTTAGCCGATAGAGTTAACGCAAGATTTTATTAGACACAACTTTAAAAATTTAGGGACAGTATTAGAAAATTTTAAAGTTCACTTTTATTTTGGTCGAAAAAATATGTTTTAACTAGTTAAATCTATACCATTTTTTTGGTCTAATATTAAATTGAAACTAAATTTAAATTTATATATCCTCCTCCAATATGTAATCTTGTTTTCCTCCCATTTCATTTCAATAATTGATCACTTGTTGAGTAGTCATTTTATGTCAAAAATTAACAGTTGGGCATCTGCCACGTCATAGAGAGGAATAATATATAGATATTTTTTGAAAGAATATTTATATTGTTAATTTAATATTACCAAACTTGGCTATTTTTCAGGGCTTTTCCCACATGGTCCAACAAATAATAACCTTTTTACCATTGTTTTTATTTTTTATTTTTTATTTTCCATGTGTGTGGTATATGATTAATATTAATTATAAGGTCAATTGAAAGACACAAATTACCTTAATTATAAAGAAAAAAATTAATGTGGAAAAGTACAATCACATGCAGCACATGGTATCATGATATAATACACACACATACATGCATTTGGTTTCTACCAATAAATGAGTAAATTTTACTAGATCTCCAAAATTATCTAAATTGCCCTATAGTTAAAATATAATAAATCAGCAAATTTACCGTAGTCTGGTAGGTTAAACTTTTTGGTTTAGTAATGATTTTGTATAGTATTAGGAATAAAATGTTCTAGATTAATACCATAAGCTACACCATTTAAATTTTTCTGTATAAGCGTGATTCAACATCTTTGGTAAAGAGGGAAAAAAAATATTTTAGAACCCATTTAATACCGATACTGTTTCTTATTTCTTACTTTTTAAATAAAGACAGAACTGCATTAAAAACGAGAATATTATCAAATCGACCCTTCATTTATTCTTCTTTTTCATGTATTCTATTAAGAAAGAGATTGGTTTCTTTCTTTATTTATTTTTTTTCCTTATGGTTAGGAATTTTCTCCTTTGGAAGAATAAAAAAATAAATAAAAATAAGTAACAAGGACGAGAGAATTTGATTCCTTTAGAAAAGGAGATTGGTTCCCAAGAATTTATGAAGGAATCCCTCTTTATAACTTGATTTAATATTCATCAATAAATATACATATCTTCTTGATAAATTATTACACAGGATGAAGATTTGAACTAATTACCTTTCATTTGAGATAAATATATCTTAATCACTCGAATTATGTTCAGATTGGTTATTGCATAACATTTAAAAAGAAAAATGATATTAATAAATTTTTAAGGGACGTACATATTTGAGACTTAGTTTAGGATCCTTGTAGCGTAGAACCTATGAAGAAAAACAATATATTTGATTGAAAGATTTTTTTATTATGTTTTAAGAGTTGTCGACCAAAAAATAAAATCTTGAAAAAATATTTACGGTTAAATTTTTTTAATTAAAAGATAATCTAAAAAAATTTCTCAAACTCTTCTTATTTTTTTGACAAAGAAATCTCTCGAACTTTATCTTCGTTGTTCCAATGAATGCATAAGTTGTTCCATAAAAACAGTGCAACAAACAAAATTAGTCTATTCAAAATTTCCCGCATTCTATTATTTTTGTGAAAGAAAAAAATATACTTTTTTATGAATGACAATCTTTACCATTAAAAAAGAATGAAAATAGTATTGAAAATTATTTTTAATACAACAATATATAGAAGTGGGGATTTTAATTGAAATATATACATTAGCCAATTAAGTTTTTAAAATTAGTAATAATCTTAGAATTATTTTTACAATTGTAATATAAATATATTACTAATTATATGATTAAATAACAAAAGGAAAAAAAAAACACAAGCTTCACCGATATCGAAGGTTTCAGTTCATAATTTCTTAATCATATATTAGTGTCAATTACTTAACTAAATTATTGTTGGCATATAATTTAAACATTTATTACATTAAATTGTTACAATGTTTGATTATGACAAAATTATCTAATTAGAAAGATAAATATTTGGAAAAAATGTGGAGGAAACAACAGGTATTGATGGAATCGTGTCGGTGTTCCCTGATCCGACGCTTCAGCTCCACACTACACGTTCTTGGGATTTCCTGGACTCCATCGCCGGCCTCCGCCCGCCGCCGCATTCTTACCCCAGTTCATCGGATGTCATCGTCGGCGTCATCGACACCGGTAATTTCCGCCATTGTTTTTTCTCTCTCTTTTACGTTCCAATACGAATCATGGGTTCTCGAATCTTCATCATATTCATCGCATAAAGTTAGAGAAAATGTTATTTCTGACTGTGGGGTCTCGAAATAGACAATGGAAGAATAGTTTTTGGTTTCTGAAAATTGGGGAATAGGTTGGCTCTGTAAGAAATTTGAAATATGTATATGGTGTGGATTAGGGATTTGGCCAGAGTCTCGATCTTTCAGCGATGAGGGGCTTGGAGAAATTCCTTCTAAATGGAAAGGGATTTGCATGGAGGCATCTGATTTCAAGAAGTCCAATTGCAACAGGTCATACTTTTGCATAAAATATTTTTGCCAACACAGCTTTTTCTCATTCATGTGTCTATTTAGTTCCTACACTTTAAAGATTTTCATTTCTATATAGTCTCTGTTGTTAGCATCAAAAGAATGTTGGCTGATTTGGTACTGGATATGTATGAGAAAGAAGTGGAGTAGCTTCATAAAATTAAGTGGCATGAGTCGGGACAGGCAGATACACTACTACTTGTGCTACTTCATTTTATCTAGTTGACCTCTTTCTTGCTGTCACCAATTTACGTTGTGTCAAATCGACCAATATTTATCCAATATACATGTCACGTCATCATTAGTTGATGGTAATAATGGATTACATGGAATCACAATTTAAAGCTTTAAATGCATAATTAGAACATTTTAAATTTACTTCCATCATCTTAGAGAAAATGTAGTGAGAACGCTCCTGATAGGACTAAAAGCTTGTATTTGTAGGAAGTTGATCGGGGCAAGATACTACAATGCTATAGAGCCCAATGGGAATGATAGCCGTGTGGGTGTGCCAAAGGGCACACCGAGAGACTCGCTTGGCCACGGGACACACACTTCGTCGATTGCAGCGGGAGCAAGAGTCCTAGACACAAGTTACTTTGGCTTAGCAAGAGGGACGGCTAGGGGTGGTGGCGCTCCTTCCACAAGGATTGCAAGCTATAAAGTTTGCTCTGGTGTTGGCTGCTCTGGTGCTGCAATTCTCAAAGCCATAGATGATGCAGTCAAAGATGGAGTTGATATCATTTCGATCTCGATTGGGATCGGTTCCCCATTGTTTCAGTCGGATTATTTGAATGACCCAATTGCCATTGGAGCATTCCATGCCCACCAAATGGGAGTTTTGGTTGTCTGCTCTGCTGGAAATGATGGCCCTGATCCTAACACTGTGGGTAATGTTGCTCCTTGGATTCTCACTGTTGCTGCTTCCAATATTGACAGGGATTTTCAGTCCACTGTGGTTCTTGGCAATGGCAAGACTTTTCAAGTAAGATATCTTTTTAATGGTTTTTAAATTTGGTCTAATGATTATAAAGGGGGGAACGCTAGTTCTTCGAAAGAAAATACAACCAAAATGTATGTTCGATATCTATATATACACATATATAGAAGATTAGGAAGATTTTTTTCGAAATTCATATATCTGTTTTACACTATTTTCCAGGGGACTGCAATAAATCTCTCAAATCTTACTAGCTCAAAGACTTATCCTCTTGTATTTGGAAAGGATGCTGCTGCTAAATTCACGCCCATATCAGAAGCAAGGTTCATGATGTTTTAATCACTTTTGAGTTTTTACTATAAATTTTCGAACTTAAATAGTGTTTGAAAACAGTTTTATGCTTCTTCAACGTTTAAAATGTTGTTTCTCCTGTTTCCTTTTAGTTTGTTTTCACAAATGACCTATTTTTTAGAACACTGAAGTTTTTCTTTACGAACTTGTAAATGGGGGTTTATTAAATTCATGATTTGATTACTTTAAGGCTTAAGCTATACAGTCACCCATAACCGCTCTAGAAAACTGTTTTGAAATCAAAAGCATATATCTGTTTTTAAAATTAGCACCCAAAAAGCACTTAACTTTTTTTTTCTGTTCTCAAAATTGATTATACTAATGGCAATGGTCACAAATTCATGCCATTGCCTTAGCTAATGATTTTTCTTCAATACATTGATTGCAGGAATTGTTATCCAGGATCGCTAGATCGAGCCAAAGTTGCAGGCAAGATCGTCGTTTGTGCCTCAGAAGACGTCACTACTTCAAGGACAATAAAGGAACTGGTTGTGCAAGATGCCAAAGCTATAGGGTTAATATTGATCAATGAAGCATCTAAAACTGTGCCAGTGGATTCAAACATTTTCCCATTAACACAAGTTGGGAATTCAGAAGGTCTTCAGATTCTTGAGTACATTAACTCCACCAAGTAAGCATCACATGTTTGAACCTTCATTCTCATATATTCTTTTGTTCTTCTTTCATTATTTGAAACATTTCAGGAACCCAACAGCTACAATTCTCAGAACAGTGGAAGTTCCGAGATTCAAACCCGCTCCATTAGTGGCTTATTTCTCATCCAGGGGGCCATCGTCGCTTACTGAAAACATTCTCAAGGTTGATCTCCTTCTGAAACATTTTCAAAGTTAATACTGTCAGTAAATAATGCTAATACTTCTGTACATGAAGTAAACGATGGACATTCAATTTACCATGCAGCCCGATATCACTGCTCCTGGAGTCTCCATTTTAGCAGCTATAGTTCCAAAGAGTGAAGCAGATAGCGGTCTGATCGGTAAGAAGTCTTCCGATTATGCAATGAGATCCGGGACATCAATGGCATGCCCACATGTAGCAGGCGCTGCTGCATTTATCAAATTGATCCATCATGACTGGAGTTCTTCCATGATCAAATCCGCACTCATGACAACAGGTTGCTTTCTAAATCCCGAGTTCTATATACATTTCTGTAAACTACCGAGCCTTGATTAGACACCCCCATATTTTTTGCGTTTCATCATGACAAAAGATGCTTGGAAAAACGGGGGTTGATTCTCTTTTCTTGATGTATATGTCCATTTACAGCAACTCTATATGATAATCAAAGGAAGTTCATGAGAAACAGCACAAACAACCCATCAAATCCACATGAGATGGGAGCTGGAGAAATAAGCCCCATAAAAGCTCTTAATCCCGGATTAGTATTCGAATCTACAACCGAAGATTATCTCCGTTTCCTCTGCTATTTCGGGTATTCAAACAAGATCATAAGATCGATGTCGAAACAAAACTTCACCTGCCCGAAAACTTCCAATGAAGATCTCATCTCAAGTGTCAATTATCCATCCATCTCCATCAGTAAACTAGATAGAAGGCAAGCTCCCAAAGTAATAGAAAGGACCGTGACAAATGTAGGAGCCGCAAACACCACTTACATTGCCAAGGTTCATTCTTCTGAGGGTTTAATAGTGAAAGTGATCCCAAGTAAGATTGTTTTCTCTGAGAATGTAAAGAAAGTGACTTTCAAAGTCTTGTTTTTCGGCAAGGAGGCTCGCAGCGGCTACAACTTCGGGACGATAACATGGCGGGATGATGTACATTCTGTCCGCACCGTATTTGCTGTAAATGTAGAATGACATGATAGGATTATATATATATAATTTTCTTCCCTCCCACTAGAAATAACAAGGAAGAAATGTGAGTATAGAGTTGTATAACATTTTGTTTTAACGCCCATTTGTATGGTTTCTGTTCTTTGGTTTGTAACATCTACGATGGAAAGGAAAAAAGTTCTCTCAATTATGTTCAATAAAACATGGAATTCATTTTCATTGAGATTGCATTCTTATGGGTTTATTTATTTGTTATGGAATACTAGTTTTATCTTAGGAAATCGTAAAGCTTTTAATATAGTAATGAGAGATGAGAAATATATCTTCCAGTAATTTAATTACATCATTTTAATGTTAATCGTTTTTAATATAATAATGAGAGACGAGAAATATATCTTTCAGTAATTTAACTACATTAGTCCTTCAATGTCGAAGTATTTTAGAAATCATTTAGAATTATTTTATAAATTTTAAATATTAAAAATATTTATTTTGAAACTTTACGTATGAAATAGTTAAAATGTATTTTGGATTTTTATTTTTTTTAAATATAATTGAAAGCAGTCGTAAAAGTTATAAGAAATTGTAAATATAATTTTGTATCTGGTATTTAAATATTTTCGAAATATCGTCTTTTCACGTTAAATTTGCAGAGGGCAATTTCTTATAGAACGCAGCAATGGCCGTCGAGTTAGCTCCGGTATCGAAATTTCTATAACACAGGTTTTCGATTCTGGTTCTGATTTTCTTCCTTGATTCCGTAGCATGATTGTTTCTCTAGGGTTTAACAAGATTTTCAAGTATCGAACTTCGATCGCGCCTTTTTGTCACTGTCCCAGCGGAATCTTTGAGTTTTTATTTTGTAGTCCAGGGACCTGCTGCATTTTGAATAACACGAGAGTTTTCAGCCATGGATCAAAGCAGACAACGATTAGAAACTATGGGTTGGAGCCAAAATCCCAGTTTTCATTCTTCCGAAATATGGGTTCTGTGCAAAAGACCGCTATGTTCCTCGAGAAATGGAACTCTGGCTGTAATGGCGTCAATAGGTCTGCGTCTGTTGCGGGGTATCGTTGGATACATTCAGATAAATCTGTCGAGCCATTAGATAAAAGTGGGGCGAAATCTGTCATTACATCTGCAGATGGAAGTAGTAACGAGGAGAAGAAGAAGACGAGGAAAAAGCTGAAGGGTAAAAGAGCAGTAGTAAAGTGGCTTAAGTTCTTCAGGTGGAAGAAGAAGAAAGAGTATGAGAGAATGACAGCAGAAGAAAAAATTCTGTACAAACTGAATAAGGTATTTCTTTCATTTATCCTCTCTTGATTAGTACTCGGCTTAACGTCTGTAAGGTGTTTGTTAAAATGCTTAAGTGGGACCGTACACAATTTTCATGAGAAATATCATCATTTTCTGATAATTTTCTTGGGTCCATGGAGATTTAATTCAGCCAACTCCTGTAAATACTAATTCAGCCAAAGCTTCTAAAAGATTTTTTTTGCTTGTGTTGGGATATGGTTAAAGCTTTGACCACTTGATCTTTGGGCTAAGTTGCCAAATATGGTTAAATGGTTGTATTGGATGAACTTGAGCTGGAAAATTAGCTTTCTTAATGGAAGTGTCTTTTGCTGATCAGATGGTGCTTTGGATGTTCTAAGAAAAATTATTGGTTAGCTGAGAAATCCTCTCTGCTTATTAACTTTTGGCTTAAGTTTTATAATAGTTTGATATTAAATGTTACAGGAGGTTGAAAACTTGGCACATCTGATTCTGAATGCCCCTTTTTGGGTCCAATTGCAACCCAGCTTCATAGAAATCTCTGGACTCTGTTGTATAGTTTTTGTTCTTGGAGAACTTTATTTACTTGATCAACTTTAAAGAAGATAGTTTTTGCAGAATGCTAGTCCACTTATCACCATTTCTTTAAAATGGAACTTCGAAAGTTTGTTTCTTCTTTTCTGGACTAATTTACGGCTTCTCTATAGGCACGTAAGAAAGAGAAACAGATTGTTGAAGCTCTGGAGAAAATCGAGCCTGCTGACTCATCAGAAGCAACTCATGATCCAGAGATATTGACACCGGAGGAACATTTCTACTTTCTGAAGATGGGTCTCAAGGGAAAGAACTACGTACCGGTTGGAAGACGGGGAATATACCAGGGTGTAATTCTGAATATGCATCTTCACTGGAAGAAGCATCAGACTGTGAAGGTGATTGTAAAGACATTTTCACCGGATGAAGTCAAAGAGATTGCTGCCGAGATAGCAAGATTGTCCGGAGGGATGGTGCTTGACATTCATGAAGAGAATACCATAATTATGTATAGGGGGAAGAACTATTCGCAGCCACCAACGGAGATAATGTCGCCGAGGGTCTCTCTCTCTCGGAAGAAGGTTCGTATGCGTGTTGTTATCTTCTTTTTGTTCTTCTAAAGGAGAGGTTGGAGGAGCATTAAACGGTTCGACCCTGAAAACCACAAGTTTTTGGTTATAGTCTGCAAGTAAATTGTTTAATGTTTGTGCTCATTTCATCTCATCCTCCTCTGTTTGTTCCCTTTCGGATGTGCAGGCTTTGGATAAATCTAAATACAGGGACGGCCTTCGAGCAGTAAGACGACATATTCCAAAACTTGAACAAGACCTCAGGTTGTTACAATCACAGGCTAAACTGAACTGCAGGAGCAATGGTGATTCAGTTGAACATGTGCAAGAAACCGTCGCGATTAATACCAAGGATGCTGCAAGAATTAGCGAACACTGGTCTGATGATTCTTCTCAGATGGATACAGGAATGAGTTCAGACTCAGAGGACTTATCGGATATGTTTGAGACCGAATCCGATACGGAAGCTGATGAGAAGATGGAACAGCCTCTATACTTGAAGGAGTTCGAAAAATTTGCAGCAGAAACAGAAGGTGAAACCGAAGATCTTCATGATCAACTTAGACAGATATCTATGGATACCAAACAAGCCAAAATGTTGGAGAAAGATGTCGATTCACCCGAATTTGACGAGGTCGATCGATTGTTCTTGCGGTCTGCATCACTTTTAAAGAAGAGAAGAAGATAAATGTAGGGTGGGATTCGAGCTCACGATCTTTTTTGGTTGGAGATAAGCTCTTTAACCGGTTGAGCTAAGCTCAGGTTGGGGATAATTAATGGTGTTTGTTGTATTCCCAACCTATTTCGTGAGTACATTCTAACAATTTTATCAAAAACTTAATAAATGATGAAATCAAATACCTTTTCAAGATTAAATTAGAACAATTATTCATAAATTAACTCATGAATCAAGTTACGAAGATGATTAAATTAAATCATAAAAATATTCAAGACTAGCTACAAAATTAAGCTGAGTAAAAAGCTTAGCATTAAAATACAATTTTAATAATGAGTATCCACATTATAGTCTAGTCGATCTCATAAATTAAATGGAAAAAAATAGAAAGTTAACAAATTGAGAGCATTAATTTCACCTTTATTCAAATCTAAGGTTTGATCTAGTAAATTTAAAATTAAAGTTGACTTGAGAACCCAAACAAAATATTAAATTAAAAATGAAAAGTTCCATCCTAATTATATATGCGGGAAACTATGAAGTCAACGAGGTAGATGATATTTGTCCACTATTAATTTTAAAATGTTGTCATTTTTTTTCATTGAATAAAAAATCAACTTAAACATAGCTCAATCATTAATATACTAATACATTCTTTTAAAGGTCGCATGTTTAAATCTATATCGTATTTGAACATAAATTTCTATTTGATCCATAAATTTTAAAAACTGAGTTTGATCTTTTTAACTTTAAAAAATGGATCTAAAAGATGTGGGATTTTCTGGAAGTTATGGAAGATCTGAGCTCTTGTGATAATAAAGCATTTGAAGTCGGTGAGGAGAAAAATAATGAATTAGCTTCAACAACCCTCAGTCATCTTGAGTTCTACATTGATTGGGGCGACGATTATCAGTTGATTCGATGATCACTGTTTCAAATATTTAAAATAAATACATAAGTAAACGCCACATAGTACCTAAAATTTCTACATAAGTCTTCTCGTTAGTGACTCCAATGAAAATTTGAATCTAATATTTTTCAGAATCATTTTAAAAAAGATCAAGGACTAAATTGTCAATTTTTTAAACGTAAAAAGATGAAATATAAAATTATACTTAAACTCAGCAGTGACGAAATTGTATTTTACCCTAAATATTATTGCTGAAAAATGGTAATAAAAATAGGATGGTTTAGGAGAATAGTTTATTAGATGGTTAAAAAAAGGCCAAAGCGAAGCCAGTTATTTATTATTTATTTATTTAATTTAATTTTGTCGCGCGGAGGCCGCCGCGCCTTAACAAGCCTGTCCCCTTTGGCCCATCAATTTCCCACCAAATTCACTCCTTCCTCCGTTACTCGCTTTTTATCTCCATTTTCAAAACTCCTCTCTCTCATATGTCCTCTGCTCATCCTCCCGCCTCCGCCTCCGCCGCCGGCGTCGGCCTCGGCTACGGCATCGCCATCGCTGTCAGC